CAAAAAGGCAATAATAACGCCGGTGTATAAGAATGGTGACAGAGAAGATGTATCCAACTATAGACCAATTTCAGTTTTAACCACCATTTCAAAAATTTTAGAGAAATTAATTAACAAGAGACTTATAAACTATTTAAATAAAATTGATTTTCTTTCAAAATCACAATATGGCTTTCGTCAAAATCTTTCAACTGAAGATGCAGTCACTGCACTAACGGCTCATATCGTCAACAATATTGACAGGGGAAATAAATGTATTGCAGTGTTTTTAGATTTAAAAAAAGCATTTGATACTGTCTCTGTCCCCATTCTTATACAAAGACTGGAGAGTATTGGCATAAGAGGAGTGGCACTTGCGCTATTATCAGACTACCTTAATGAGCGCAAACAATGCGTGAAAATAGGCCAATATATTAGTAACCAATGTGATGTGACGTATGGGGTACCACAGGGAAGTGTACTTGGGCCGACTCTGTTCTTGATTTACATCAACGGCCTCTGTAATATGAGTATCAACGCGGGACAAGTTTTTTCCTATGCAGACGACACTGCCATTGTTTTCACTGGCAACACGTGGGATTCCGTACGCCATGTCACGGAAGAGGGGCTAGTCAGGGTAGCTAACTGGTTAAAATTTAACCTTTTAACATTGAATACGGACAAGACAAACTACATAGCATTCACAAAGTATAATTCAACGCAACCTGAACATAATTTCAAAATTCAACTTCATGACTGTGACAACATTCAAAATAATTGCTCTTGCAAAACCATAACCAAAGTTAACAACACAAAATGTTTGGGAGTTGTAGTTAACCAGAGGCTATCCTGGCACGCCCATCTAGAACTAATGATGGGAAGAGTCAGAAAACTCATATGGGTGTTTAAAAAGCTGAGACATGTTGCTGACAAAAAACTATTAAAACTAATTTATGTTTCATTGGCTCAGTCACTATTGGCCTATTGTATCCCAGTCTGGGGAGGTACTAGTAAGATGAAGTTCCTCGATTTAGAAAGAGCACAAAGAATACTGCTAAAAGTAATGAGCTTTAAACCTTATTGGTTTCCCACTGATAACCTATACAAAATGTGTGATGTTCTTACAGTTAGGCAATTGTATATATTAAATATAATTCTAAAACGTCACAAAACGCTCCCATATGATCCTTCTATAATATCTAGGAGACGAAAGCATAATGTAGTTCCCATTGCTACAGTCAAGTCAAGTTATGCTAAGAGGCAATTTATGACTCGATCTGCTTATTTATATAATAAATTTAATAAAGTTTTAAACATTTACCCTATGACTAAGTACAATTGCAAAATGACTTTGACAGCACTATTAAAAACTTGGAGTTATGATAAAACTGAGAATTTCTTGCTGAACCAAAACTAACACTTTCTTGGATTATATTTTACACATAATAGAAGCTTGAATAAAAAAAAATATTGTAATTAATAAAATAGGAATGATAAAACTCACCTAAACTAAATTATGTAAAAATTCACAATAAATAATATTTATTTAATAAAATAGAAATGATAAAACTCACTTAAACACATACACACACACACACACATACACACACACTTTCACACACACACACACACTTATTTTGTAATATTGTAAATCCTTTGTGTATCATGTAAAATTTGTTTAGAAAGCATATATTTTTATCTACTCTAATTTGTCTGTTGTGGAGCAACTTTAAAAATCAAAATTAAAATATGTTTTTAGATTAAGTATTGAAGTAAGTAGGTATCACATTAGTATTTGTTAATCAATGTTACGGAGAGGGGGGATTTCTAACACAAGTATTTATTTACTTAAAAGAAATCCTCAATCATAACAGTGCTATGTAAAAACTCTGATACTGAATAAATTATTTGATATTGATATTTGATAGCATTTAAAATGCAAATTTAATTATTATTTGCTTAAATTAAACCAATGTTATAAAATTCATTGTTGCTATTTGTTACTGAATACTTATTTTTTTAATAGCATTTAAAATGCAAATTTAATGATTATATCCATAGATTAAACCAATGTTCTAAAGTTCATTGCTGCTATTGTTACTGAATACTTATTTTAAAAAAGCATAAATTAAATGCATTATTGTATTTGCATTTGTTGTGCTAGAAATAATGGTTTATTTTTATTTGAGTAAATAAATAAAATACGTACGAGTAAAGAAAAATGAAAAATTTTAAGAAGATATATACTACTTAGGATCTCCAAGTATTTATAAGGATATTCCCATGTCTTTTTTTGCTCTGTCAAATTAAAGAGGCAGAACAAACTTTAATTTAGATTTAGAAATTTACCTGTCATAATCGACTTGATTATCAAACTAATTAATTACTCAAATGCAAACTTATTAGACTGATTCTTTTCTTATATTTTTTAGCTAATGCCTTCTCTAATACGGGTTCGGATCTTTTGGCATAGCTGTCCAATTATTTTTTTAACCTCAAGACGGCGGTGCACATTGTACAAATACTTTTACAAAAAAAAAATAACAAGGTAAAAAAAAAGGAAAAAACGAAAGGAATTTGACAGGTATGCTAAATATGATTGAAATATTTCTGACATGTTCAATTAGAAATAAAGATTTATGTTTTTACTTAGTATTTTATTTAAAAGAAAATTTGCTACAATTTTATAGAAAATGTTTGCAACCACTGTCACCAAAGATATGCCGGACTTGCCTTAAAATTAAATAAAATTAAATAACTTTGAAATTTAAACCCTATGGACAAAAACATTAAGCACACATTTCAACGCCAGTTTTGTATCACTGCTAGAAATTGTTTTCATACATATTGCGTCACAAGTTATGGTTATATTGCTACTAGACGGACTTACCTCAACTCCGTCTCAAGTCCGTCTACACGCCGAGTTTTAAAAAATAACATATAATTCTAAAGACATTGCAACCACTATCCTATAAAAAAAAGAATTCTGTGTAAATAGACATTGTCGTTTTGTGTAAATCGACATTTTTGTTTTGTGTAAATAGACATTGATATTTTGTGTAAATAAGTTTAGTTTGCTAGTTTTAGTAACTTTTGTCTAGGACTCTCAGTGAATGAGTGAATAATATATGTACTTATATAAAACTTCTACGTTTTCGTACTTTGTAGTAACTACTCGTAACTTTCTAAGGTAAAGGTATTAAACCTATAATTAACTAAGGCATTTATTTCCTTACCTATATGTTATTAAAATGCCTCCAACAAAAAATAGAAGTACATTATGGAACAATTTTAGTGAGCTCATAGACAACAAACCAAAATTTGGTTATTGTGCACAAATTTTGAGTATACCCAATAAATCCATCAGTAATTTGAGCAGGCACATGAGACTGAAACATCCTACAATTCAAATACAATTAAGCAGTCAACAGAATACAATTCAACAGCAGTCATTAACATCAATAGCAGACCCAGTATCATCTACGTCATCTTTTACATCTCTATTTTAAAATGAAGCCCTACCGTTAACTTCTCATGAGCCACCAAAACCATCAACTATGGCAGAATTTATTCACAAACAAAAAAAAACTAATCATCAAAATAATTGTCAAAAATTATTTACCAACTTTCGCTCGTAGAGCAACCAGAAATAAAAGAATTGTTCGCCATGATCATTTCTGGTTACAGTTTACCGACTAGAAAAACTGTATTTAGGTAGCCCTACACGCTAGGTTATAACCGATGGTTATGCTTGCACAGTTCAACTGAACTGAACGTGTGTAAGACATAATTTCTTGCCTGCGCAAGCAAAATAAAAAATATAGAAATTGATATTTTTGCCGCTCGGTTGTGCTCGCGCAGGTCGCTTGCGCAAGCATAACTGAACGTGTGTAGCAGGTGCGCTTCAGGCTTCAGTCATCCAGCAAATTCTGAGGGGATAAGACGTCGTCACTCATCGTTGGCGCGTCGTACGTCACTGCGCAATGATGTCGTCTCGCAAACGAAATGCAATTTTAGAAGAATTTATAGAAATATATAAATCGGAGCCCTGTATATGGTGATTGAAGGATAAAGAGTATCATGACCGAAATAAAAGAGCGGCAGCATACGAAAAACTTATAATTAAATTAAGAGAACTAGAGCCAAATGCGACAAAGGAGGATGTTGTAAAAAAAATTAATGCGCTACGAAGTAACGTACGTAGAGAAAAAAGAAAGGTTGAAGAATCCACTAAGTCGGGAGCGTCAGGTGACGAAATTTATAAACCGTCGTTGTGGTACTATGACATGTTTGAATTTCTCGGAGATCAGGACATTCCTCGTACTTCACAGTCCAATATAGATGAAGCTGATCAAATTGAGGTAAGAAATACAAGTTTTTTATACAAATGTGGCGGCGGTCGTATACGTGTACATGTGTGTGTGCGTTCGTGTGGTAATTAAAAATATGTGGTTATTTTTCCGCCGAAACAGGTAATGTTTTTCGAGAGTATGTCGTACCTACTTGTATGTATGTCTATTTCTTTGGCACGTTCTGCTAGGCTATTCGCGTCGTGTTTTCAGACACTGAGCGAAGTGAACACAAAATGAAATACATAATAAAAATAGCACTGAAAAATTAACTTTACTTCTATTTACATAGTGTAAAATTGAATATAGGACTTACAAGACATTTCCTATGTTAAAGTATGTTAAATTTTAGACTGTATTATATAATAAAAATAAGGTTAATTTTTTTGCGTTATTTTTATTATTTCATTTCGTTTTCACTTCGCTCAGTGTGCGAAAACAGAACGCGAATAGCCTAGCTGTAATCTAAATGGCTCAACAGATTTTGATGTTATTTTCTCACGTTTTCGAACTTGTATGAAATTATTAATTTGGTTTTATTCTGTTTTATTTGATGGTTCATTCAGGAGACAGATATAAATACTTATTTGCTGTAAGGGTAATAAAACATTTATTAGCAATGCCATTATTTTTATTAGATATACCTAATCAAACTGAATACATACAATAAACTTAAGCCGCAACGAAGTTATCTTGCCACGATACGCTGCCTTCATTTACGAAGTAATCAGTAAATTTCTCTCGCACCTGTTTTGCATAGTTTGAAATGTTTCCTTGCCTTCGCTGTAAGTTAACCATAGTCGAACGGGTAGTATTATAGCCTTCCGTGATAATGGTACCATTTGCAGCATTTTCTTCATAAAAACATTCCCGGGGCGCATAAGAACTTCCTACGTGTTTCATTAAATAATTATGCAGTACGCATGTTGCCATCACTATTTTTTCTATATTCTTTGGCTCTAGATTTATTACAGTATGGTATATTCGAAACCTAGATGCTAAAATACCAAAAGCATTCTCAACAATATGTCTAGCGCGAGACAATCTATAATTAAATATCTTTCTTTCGCGTGAATGCAAGTCAGCTTGTCGAAATGGTTTTATCATATCAACTCTTAAAGGGAATGCGTCATCAGCAACAAATACGTATGGGAGACTTGTTGAGCTGTTTTTGACAACTTCAGCGTCTGGAAGTTCCATTTTGTTATCTTGGAGCATTTCAAAAAACTTGGTATTCTGTAAAACACCTCCATCAGAAATTCTGCCATTTGTCCCAAAATCAACCAGCAGAAATTCGTAATTAGCGTCTACTATTGCCATAAGCACCATACTGTGTCGCTTTTGTAATTATAGTAATACGATCCGCTGTCAGCAGGTGGAACTATGTCAATGTGCTTACCATCGATCGCACCTAAGCAATGAGGAAAATTCCACCTTTCTTCAAATTGTTGCGCTATATTTCTCCATTTTTCAGATGACTTAGGAAACTGTAACAAAAATTATTGTTTTAGGAACTTGCTGATACCAGGGATATGTAATGAAACTTCGGATACAGTAACTCCAGAAAATATAAATATAGCACAAAACTCATCATCCCAAGAACAGCAGCAAGAGTCAGCGGCGAAACGACCAAGATCATCAAGACCCGGTAAAAAAAACAACGAGCCAGAAAAACTAACGAACGAAGTATTAACTTCTATTAGGGATCACTTTAAACGACCTGCAGCTTCACCACCACCGCAAGAAGACCGGTATGATTTACTAGGTAAATCAATAGCATTGAAATTAAGGGCAATGGAAAAACGCCAGCGGCTTATAGTTGAAAAACTTATGATACTTTGTTTGAAGGAGAAATGGGAAATTTTACCACAGAAAGCTATCAGAACAGAAATATTCCACACTATCATAGAGGTCTATACATAAATTCTCCTAGTCCGACATCCATCTCAAGTACTAGCCCACATCATACACAAAGTCCAAGTCCATCATTGATGCAACAATTTCAATATACTCTATTTAATGCGAACTCTCCTCAGAACCCTTCGCCCATACAGCCTCCTTCTACAGGTGATGCAATAAATAATCCTCCTGCTGTGGTACAATTATCAATTCCAGAAAAGACTGACTCGTCTCAGGACCTGTTCCATTCTACACCATCAGCAATGAATAATTCTACCAATGTACAATTTAAACTTGAAGAAGATTCTGTTACAGCATCAAGTTACTACTCAAATTTTATATATAAATATATATATATATATACATATATATATATATGTATATATATATATATATATTAATATGTATATATAACTACTCTGACTGACTGATTGGTCACCTCTTCTGATATATCAACAGTGTTGCCGCATTTGGGGTAATTTTCCCAAAATGTACTCCTGTAAAATTTTATATGAAGTTTTTTTTTCACCGATGGTTTTGTATACCTAGAAGAGAAAAATTAAATAGGACAAAATTTTGGCATGTGTGGCCTCCCTTAAACAGTCTTTTGCCAAAAATGTATCAGGAATGTTTGGAAAAAGTTCAGGTTAACATAGACTCCGACTGGGCTGTCTGTCTAACTACCGATTCCTGGACGTCGATAAGTAATGTCAGTTTTATTTTTGTCACCTCCCATTATTTAAATGATGCTAACATTATGAGGTCATATCTTTTAGATTGTTTTTCATTCTCTAACAGAGACACAGCAGAAAATCTGTGCCAATCTTTGGAGACAAAAATAGTCGAATCAAAGATTCAAAACGAAGTCGCTGCTGTAGTGAGTGACAATGCCGCCAACATCCCGGCTGCTATTAGGATGGGTGACTGGAAACATATGTATCGAATGTTTTGCCTATTCTGTAAATTTGGTTGTACAATCGGGTTTAAAAGAAATTAAGTATACTGTCATAAAAGTGAAGTCGATTGTAGAATATTTTAAAAGGAGTTTGTCAGCATTGGCAATTTTAAAAGAAATCCAATAGCAAATGGGTCTTCCAGAATTATAATTAAAATAAGACGTAGTCACACGATGGAACTTGACACACGACATGTTAAGTCGATTCCTTACATTGAAAGAGCCCATAATTTCTGTGTCAATACTCGGCACAGATATGGAAATGTTAACACCGGAAGACTGGAAAATGATTGATGAGTTCAGAAACACAGGTTACTCTAAGTAATTGTGTTGACAAAAATTATGATTAAATACGTGAACAAACATATTAATGAGGACACTGGATATCCTGTGCAAATTATTATTGAACACCCTGAAGCAGCAGTTGTCGGATAAATTAGAAAATACTGAATCCAACCCTCTGTACGCGGAAGCAACAATTTCAGACCCGCGCTTCAAAGGTTTCGCGTTCAGAGAACAGGAAAAAATATTAATATAGTTGTTACGACCTTAAGACGACGTCTAGCAAATACAGCTACTGATACAGTCCGTGGTTTTACCACGGTGTGAACATCTGCAACTACGGCTGAAACTGCAACTCAACCTGTGGCTGCAACATCAGCATCGCTATGGGACGATTTTTGTCTTATTAGAAACTGGCCCGAATGAGGTCTACGAAATTTTAATGGGATTAAAATCGGACAGCGCTGCGGGCTGGGATGGTATACAAACGAAATTTCTGAAACATGTTGGCAAAGAAATAGCCCCCGTTATTGCTCACTTAGCTAACCTCTGCATAGGACAGGGTATATTTCCTACTGCGCTCAAACATGCTATTGTCACTCCGGTACATAAGGGTGGAGACAGAGACGAAACCACCAACTATAGACCTATATCAGTCCTTCCAGTTCTTTCAAAAATATTAGAAAAAATTATAAATAACAGATTATTCATCTTCCTAAACAAATATCAACTAATATCTAACTCCCAATTTGGCTTTAGACGAGGAATATCAACAGAAGACGCTATAAGTGCATTAACGTCTCACATTACTGAAAATGTCGATAAAAATAAAAAGTGCATTACAGTTTTTCTAGATCTTCAGAAGGCTTTCAATACCGTCTCTGTCCCCATCCTTATGCGCAGATTGGAATCAGTGGGTGTCAGGGGTACTCCCCTAGCTTTGCTGTGTGATTATTTGCGTGATCGTAAACAGAGTGTTAGAGTTGGTGACTGTATCAGTGAACTGGCAGACACAACATATGGTGTCCCACAGGGGAGTGTGCTGGGACCAACGCTCTTCTTAATTTACATTAATAACCTTTGTAACTTGGAAATTCTTAATGGTAAATTATTTTCATATGCAGACGACACCGCTGTAGTTTTCTCTGGTACAACATGGGACGAAGTACGTGGCTTTGCACAGGAAGGTCTGGCACGAATAGCTCGTTGGTTAGACAAAAATTTATTGACTCTAAATGTCTCTAAGACCAATTATATATGTTTCACAAATTATAACAGTACTCGGCCAAATTCAGACTTCCAAATAAAAATTCACTCATGTAACAATATCACCAACCAATATTGCTCATGTGATAGCATAGAAAAAACATCTAAAACCAAGTATCTTGGAGTAATGATTGATCAGCGCCTTGCTTGGAGTGCCCACATTGACCTACTGATTGGCAGAATTCGCAAACTTACTTGGATTTTTAAGACTTTAAGACACGTTGCCGACGCAGATTTAATAAAACAAATATATATATATCGCTAGCCCAATCTATTCTTAATTACTGTATCACAGTCTGGGGTGGAGCCACCAAAACAAAATTTCTAGAACTAGAAAGGGCTCACAGATCTTTGCTTAGTGATTTATTTTAAACCTTATAGGTTTCCAACCGTCAGTCTATATTCCCACTGTGGCCTACTATCTGTAAGGAAACTTTACATTTTACACGTGATTTTAAAACTTCATAGAAAACTCCCCTACAACCCCCCTAGACTAAATAAAAGGAGAATATTAAATGTTGCACCTGTAACCCATGTTAAAACTGCCTACGCCAGAAGACAATTTGGAAGACAATCCGCACATATTTATAACAAATTAAATAAAATTCTTAATTTTTACCCAACAGCGACACATACATGTAAGAACACACTACAGAGCTGGCTTCAAGGTAAAAAATATGATGAAATTGAGAACCTTATCTTACATTAACAAATATAGTGTAAAGTCATAATTCTATTCACTGACTCACATACACAATCACATGTAAACGTACACATACTTACGCGCACGCACACACACACACACACACACACACACACACACACACACACACACACACAAACACACACACACAAACACACACATACATATTATTAACTTAAGTTGTTAAAGTTCTTTTGTGAATTAAATTGTTCATTAATTCTTTTTGCGCTTCCTCAGGTAGCACTTAGTAATTAACTATAATGTTTCTTTTTGACCCCGTTTACTTTTAACTTGTGTTGTATTGTCTTGCTGTAGTTAATACTCACTGTAACAGAACGTATCTTTTTGTAATCTTAAGAAGGAGCGGGGTCTCCTAACACAAGTATCATACTTAAAAGGAGTAATGTAACAATGATGTAAAAGATACTGAATAAAGATTTTTTCATTTTTCATTTCATTTTCACAGCTACTGATACAGTCCGTGGTTTTACCACGGTGTGAACATCTGCAACTACGGCTGAAACTGCAACTCAACCTGTGGCTGCAACATCAGCATCGCTATGGGACGATTTTGATGCTGAACTGAGTCTGCATCTCAGACCGCGAAATTATATGGCAACAGGAATAAGAGAGCTAGATAAATATTTAAATGATGAAATGCTGCCTAGAAATCTAGATCCCTTAATTTGTGGGAAAGCAGAAAAGTAATTTATCCTATTCTGCACCAATATGTAAAATAGAGATTTTGCATTACCACAACATCTGTCCCATGCGATCGCGTTTTTTCAATACGCATCGAACAAAGCTTAAAGATGATAAAGTTTCAAAAATGCTATTTTAAAATTACAATTTTAAGTAAAACTATAAATAAATAAAAAATCAAAGAAAAGACTGTAAATATAGTCAACAAATCACTGTAATTAGAATCGATTTTTAAATACGCCAGCCGGCCATAAATTAAGGATTAGCCGCGAGTCTTAAGCCTGGATAAAGTATGAAGGAAGATCGATTTTATATACAATCTTATTACGGTACACAATAAATACCTAAGAACTTATATCAATGAATGTCAGCATTGTTGCCACATAACATTTCACTGACTCAGTCAGCAATAAACGCCCGCGAAGAAACTTGTATTCGTAACATTCAGTATTTTATATGTTTTGAGTCGATGATTCTGTATTTTATATCTTTAGAGTCGATGGTCCAAATGAAACATTTTAGTATTTCGGAACATTTCTCCAATACTAGCGCTATCTGCTTTCAGCTTTCACTGGCCGGCCATCATCATTGAGCGTTAAACATTGGAGATTTGGAAAAAATTAAATAACTTTTTTTAAGGAAATTTAATTTCCTATCCGAATGATTCGTATTAATTTTACAGTATTTCTTATCATTGAGACAAAATCATCCCATTTAATGCTCGTAAATTCTGTGTATGTCATACTAATGCCCGAAACGGCACGATATGCGCGGTGATTGTCTGCGCACCAGCTGGGCTGAGCGCTATAGGAGCGACAGAGATACTACAGGGGTGACAAAGATGAATAAATGACAGATACAAAGTCGTATTTTACTCAGGTCAAATCTCAGGTACACAATGAATGTCGAATGAAAAGAATAAGCTGCCTATAAGATAAAACTTTAAACAAGATATGTTAATGGAAAAAAATATTAAAAGGATAAAAAAAATTAAAATTAAAATTGAGTTTTTAAAAAAGGTTTTAAGAAAGTTATTTTACAAAAAATTATAAAAAAATTCTCTCTAGAAATGTCGATCAGACCGAATAAAAAAATAAAAAATGTTAATTAATTTATTTTTAATGAATTTTTAAAAATTCGGGTATTTTAAAGTTCGTGGCCAGCTTAATTGCAATTTTCAAATGTAAATGTCTTCTGTCCTATTAAAAATTTGAGGAAAATGAAAACAATTTAGTGTAGTTTTTTATTCTCTATCGATTTTGTTTAAATATTTTTTCGCTATCTCCTATAATTTCTGAAAGTCGCAAAAAAAATGGTTTCATTAAAAAAAAGTCGGTATATTAATTATCATTGCCCGATATGAAACTTTATTGGTCCAATGATTCATTCTAGAATAATGCAGAAATATCAAAAGTTATACCGATTAAAAGATTTCACTCCACTGATTCCTAGGGCCATGAGATTAAACATGGCCATGCCCAAAGATGAAGATGTTGCTGCAGCAACCACATACAACAAGGCTTTGCCAGATTTAACCACACCTGCAACTGTTGCAATATGGCCAAATAGTTTATATGATTTCGAGTAAAAACCGTTTCCAAATGCTCCTATTCCAACTGAATCGAGGAAAGAAACGTTTTCAAACAGTAATGTTGGTCCAACAACACCATGTGCTGACTCTTATGACACATTCATTGCCATTTTTTTATAGGAGAGGGGGCAAACAAGCATGCGGCTCACCTGATGGTAAGTGACTACCGCCGCCCATGAACAACTGCAACACCAGGGGAATTGCAGATGCGTTGCCGGCCTTTTAAAAAGGAGTAGGCCCTTTTCTTGAAGGTCCCTAAGTCGTATCGGTCCGGAAAAATCGTTGGTGGGAATAGATTCCACAAGGAAGTTGTGCGAGGAAGAAAGCATCTTTTAAATCGCACAGTGGTTGACCGCCAATCATCCAGGTGGTATGGATGGTATCGCAAGTTTTGTCGTGAT